GTGTTTAATTGTAGGCAGGGACATTACTGGATATTCTTGTGTAATTGCTACAGAATAATTTATGTTAAACTTTGTTATTGCTACAGAAGAATATTTATTTTATTATTTTACATTTACAATTTTTTTTCCTGGGGACCCTGTGACACCCCATTGAAGAGCCGTAGGCTGGATCTCTTAAGATCTCATTGTTGGGTTTGTAAGGCCATGTTACTCCTAAATTTCTATCTTGTTCAAAGAGAAGATATAAAACAAAGTTCTAAGCTAATCGACCTTAGTGTTCTCCTTTTTTTAAAAAGAATCGATAAGAGAATCAATAAAGAATCGAAAATGGAATCGGAATCGGGAAAATCTTATCAATACCCATCCCTACTTCTGCCTCTAATAGAGCTGTTCTCATAATCCAAGTGATCCCTTTAATGGTATCAACGTTTTACTGAAAAAAGAAATCAATCTGAGAGTGCAGTGAAAGAAAAACAGCTGGCATGTTTGTCGGACTTAAGAAGATTTTATGTGTTATGAAAATAAAACTAAGGGACATTTAGTCTCTAAAAACTTTAAAAGGCATCCAGAACATTTATGGATTTGATCATTTTCAATTCAGTTCAATTCAATTTTATTTATATAGCACCAAATCACAACAACATTTGCTTCAAGGCACTTTATTCTTATACTAACATAAATCAACTACAACAATAACGTTTTAATCCTTGTAGTTGATAGATAGATTATGGAAAACACCTTTCTACAGGCCTAATATCTGATATTTCATACATTCAGCTCAGATGTTTTCACCAAAAATACATATTTTATAGACAAATTCTACTTCATTGGAAGAGAAGAAAGTTTTCCTACCTTTTCAGAGCTGGGCTTGTTTGTGACCTCTGTCAGTGGAGTAGGTCTTGCACTCTGTTTCTTGTCATCATGGACGGGTTTATCTTCCACCGGCTGCTTGTTACTCAAAGATGACAACTGGGAAATGTGGATGGGATGCTGCACCTTCCCCTACATTTAAAGAGTAATTTGTAAAGAATGCAGTGATGCTTACAGACCTTTTTAAAAGTGTCATTTTCAGCAGGTTGTAAAACATAACAACAAACTGGACTCACGATGTCTAGTTTTGGGATTACTATCTTCACTTCTTTCATCAGAGCCATGGGCACCGATAGGTTGGTCTTCTTTTCTGTGACTAGTAAAACACATTTCCACGTTAGTGGGTCAAACCTCTCCACAGCTCCCAGTTAACAGAACATGAACCCATTTTTTCACCAGATTTAATTTACCTTTATTTAAAGTGGGAGCAGAAGCATTACTGTCCACGTCCATCCAGTCATCATCTTCATCATAGTCCTCCTCCACATGGTTCTCTGTGTCGATATCCATTGCCTCTGCGAGCTCTTCATCAGCACTGTGCTCGTCTGGAGACGTATTTTTCTGCTCTCCGTCACCATCCTTGTTGCTC